CTATAGAACAAACAAATTTTAATTACCCTAAACAGTGAAAACTGGATGCCAAAGAGCTAACTGCTGGAAAGACCCTTCGGGAGAAAGAGGACATCCGTGCGAAGAAACTGAGGCAAGAGTCCCTTAAGGTTTCGGCATACATTGCCCTGGCTTTTAAAAATCTCCAACAACACTCTACTATATGGCTACCATACTGTCGGTGTTTTGGACCGGTGGGTCCTCAACCAACGAGTGAAAATGTACTGCGTGTCCCTATCCCGGATGGTGATGCAAAGAGACACAAGGTTTATACTGGTTCAGGCAATAGGTGCCCTACGTCCAATCTGAGAGAATGATGTTGTATTCCTTGCACCAAGGTGCTCGTACTAGGGGTTTACAAGCAGGGCGAGAGAGGGAGTTAGTCCCAGGTCTCTGCGTGGAGCGGCGTGGGTTGCTTGAGATGTTGATCTCTTGCGGTGAGGGAGCGTGCGTATTCTGAGTGTTGCTCATTGCTTCCGCGTGTGTGTCTATCTGAGCGGTGTCTCTGTGAGTCCCCCCTAGGAACGACTTCGGTCACTCCCTTTTATAGTTGAAGGGGTGGACAGGGGCGATACATGCGTTCGCTACGTGGCGTTTTGCGGGTGGAGGCGGTATGTCCGAGCCCTATAGCTTGTCACTATGGCGGTATGGTCGGTGGAGCGGTCTTGTTCTTGGTGCACTGGAGCGACGCGCCGGTCACGCCCGATCCTGTGGTGGTAGGCGTGCCTTATTCTGTTGGAGGCGAGTTGGTTACTGTATGTTTGACTGGCGCGGAGTGCCGAGGCCGGGTTGATGCGATGGCGCGGGCACGTTGATTCCGAGGCTACAGGAGCTAGGCTTTGTGCGCGCGTTGTGGGGCTCCTGCAGCCTGACGTAGGGTATGGCGCGTTACGAAGCGGCGCGCCGCCGATCCCAGTCTTGATAACGTAGAGAGCCGAGGTCCGATCGATCAGGGTGAACCATTGTGGGGGGCTCGGCGGGCACAAGTCCCGAGGCTACAGGAACCCGGGGAGCGGATAGCCGAGGCTCGAGAGGGAGCGATTGGTCTTGTTCGTTGATTACGAGGCTCTGAGGACTGGACTTGACTCTCCATGCCTCACTGTCCTTGAAGCGGGGTTAAGCGGCCACAGTGATGTAATACGGGTGTCGATCATGGGCACGATCTGAAACACGATGGCGGTAACCCCGCCCGTCCTATCTGGATGGCGGGGGCGTTGATGTAACTTTTCGTCTCGTCGGTCACTCCGCTACACTGTGTCATCATGCGGCTGACGTTGTGGGAGTGGTTGAACGCTTCAGTTGGATGTGACGTCCCGTCAGAGAAGTCGGTCAAAGCGGCAACGGGGTTGATGCCGAGCCGGCCTCGAGGGAGACGGAGAATCGGTACCTCGTCCGAGGCCTTTCGGGCGGGGCCTCGGGCGAGGCGAGAGAATCGGTACCTCGTCCGAGGCCTTACGGGGTGGGGCCTCGGGCGAGGGGGCCTCAGGCGAGGCGGAGAGTTGGTACCTCGTCCGAGGCCTTGCGGCGTGGGCCTCGGACGAATCGGAGAATCGGCCGAGGCCCACATGGTTGTCTCTTGGCTTTGATATTTACAAGGTCTAAGCAAATTTTTAGATCTTGCTTAGGGTACCCCTTTTTATGGTATCCGACACATACTTCGAGTAAGTTCAACTCTATACTTAAAGTTTTGTTCGATATATTTTATTCGATGCAAAAGAGCTTATCTAGTTCTATGATTAAATTCATGCAGCAACCACTGGATTTGTATAGGCGTCGATGTCGGGAGGAGCATGGCATGGGTCTTTGATTCAATAGATAGGGACCCGGTGACGTATAAAGACTTCATATCGATTCTCAATACGTATACATATCGACAATCCTCATTAGATTATATGTTTATATACATACTTGTACCGTTCATTTTTTATACTAACAAGTTGTATTTGCTAAAATAATTCGAACATGGCATTCAGGTTCTATGTCAATGAACATCACGGAAGGCATGATCCAGTAAGGAAGGAAAGACTGGCTATAAAAACACTATGTGTGGTAACTGGTAAGTGTAACTTACTTTAGTACTCCATTACATGGCTGTCAAAAGCATTACTTAATATTTCCATATGTAAAACACACAGTGCCCCAACCAAAAGCCTGAAAGTGTACATTGTGGATACTATGTATGTTCTATGATGAGTAACACCGGTGCCTACAGGAGACACCCTTAAGAATAAATTTGAACCTCTTCACCCGTAATATAAAAACTTCGCACATAATATGAAATACTAAACCGAAACTTCTCATGTAGTAGAAATAAGAGAAAGAAATCAAAAGAGACACATACAAGGATAACCAACTCTTAGAGCTCGTCGGCGACCTTTACAACTTCATATTGAACCAGATTGTTCACGTCAAAGGCACCTACCATGACCGAGATTCTGACTTAGATAGAAATCCTTAGTACCGAACACCTTTGTGAGACTGAAAGGATAACTCTAGGCCGTTGATAATAATGTGTATGTAATTTGACATTGCTCTTACCTTGTGGGATGGTTTGGACTTGTGGAACGAATTAAACTTGTAAATTATGTCTATTTAATAATAGATTGTATATATTCTTGTGAATTGGACTTGTAAAGATAGTTTATATAATGCTTTTGTGCTTGTAGTTAGATTTGAATTATATATGTTATTGTTAGATTTAAATTATATATGTTCTAGTCGAATTTGAATTATAAATTTAATTTTTTTGACGGAAAAAATATACCGTAGGGGCGGTTCTAGACTGAACCGCCCCTACAAATTGATTTTGTAGAGGCAGTTGGTGTTATCAGCCGTTCGTATAATGTAGGGACGGCTGATAACAATTTATAAGACGGTTTAGAACCACTCTTACAAATACATGATTTATATAGACGATATGCTAGGAGTGGCTGCTGGCCGAGCCGCCATTATAAAGCCTCGCTAGCCGCCGAAACCATTCCCGGCAATCATGCGTGCGCATGTGTCCTATCTCCTGTTCGTTAGCATTAGCATTGATGGTGTATCCGTCGTGCCATCGCTGCGACGGCATCGGCAGTTCGGCGGCACAGGTCAAGATTCCGGCGACCATTTGCATGCAAAAGCATGATCAGAGCTAGCCCGGGCCGGGACGGATTAGGTAGTATAATTGCAAAATTAATGGGTCTCTCATGGATCCCGCCGACCGCAGTCGCCTAACCCGCTGTCCTTTCCCATGATTAAACCAGCGCGGTCGCTGCTGCCGCGCGCTAAACACTGCGATCAGTCTGGGCCGTGGTTTGATTGGGCATCAAGAGGTCATGCATTAGACAGAGAGTACGACGACCACGAGCGCGAGGGAGGAGCATGTGGCACATGAGCTCTTGCTCTGAGAACACATGTGGCCGGCCGGAGCAGACAGGTTACAGAGATATTCTACTGCGATACCGATATTCTCTCGCAAAATATGCTGTAGTCTCTTCCTTTTTAATCTGCTCGCAGCGCGCGTGCATGAACGAACGAACGAACGGCGAGTCCACACCAGCAGGTGTGTCCTACGTGGACCAGGAGGGAATCCGATGAGGACGTGACCTGTCGCGTGACTGCCGGTGTCGCCATTGGTACGTCCAATGCCAAGTCCAAAACACAGCCATGCACCGGTCAAGTAGCAAGGAGATCCATGGATCAGGTAATTAAACGAAGAAGAGAACAATTCAACGTGGCCCGACCCGGAAATGGAGATAAGGTAAAGTAGCGTCACCAAAACTTGGACATTACCAACACAGGCAGAGTCGCAGATTCAGAAGAATTTGACACTACAGCATGGCTCATGGCTGTTTGCAAGTTGCAATGCAGGGCCAAGGGATCGGAGCCCGGCCTAAACCATTCGAAATTCCCGTGAGACCATTCCAAGAAGGAACGACGGGGATTGCATGATTGCCCCCTGATTGGATCAACGCAAAGCGCATTTGCAGATCTTGCAGGCGATCATGAGGGGGCGCGTGCTGTCATGACGAACGAACATGAGGAACCTAAACACCTTGGAATTAGCACGAGGCGCCTTGCATGCGGCTGCGGCCAGCGGAAAGGGAAAGCGTCAGGGTGGTTTTAATTTCCGGAGATCTGTAGCATGTTCGGCTGTTCGGTTAGGGCTGAAACGATCGTATATGATCGTGGATTATTACTGTTGGTTGATTTAATGTGAGAGAAAAATATTATTTTAATTAAAAATTTACGATCGTTTACGATCGAACAAATAGGCCGCTGGAGTGAAGTGCTGCAATCCCGATGCGCCGTCAGTGCCTGTCGTGTAGTACTGCTCTCGGCAGCATCGCACGTGAACCTTTTTCAGCAGAAGGTACTCCCCGGCCGATGGGCCGATGGGACGGATGCTGACGAGTTAGACGATGATGAATCTATCTACACTCCATCATCGATGTCTATGCTCTCACTCATCGATCGGGCGACGATGGTTCACTACTGTGAATACGGCCCAAATCACAGAGCGTGAGCAAGATTTAAGGCCCGCAGTGCGTTTCGGTTGTACAGTCACAGTCCACTATTCCTATTCAGGCCTACTGCACCATGGGCCACTACTATGGGCCCGCACCCGAAGTTCTTCCCGTCAGAGTCAGGATGCGGACTACTAAATGTCATTGGGCCTTCTCTCTCTATTTCTCGGCTTCCGTCCTAGCCAGGAAAGCCCAGCCCAACCGGATATTGATGCGTCGCTTACATCCTAAGCAACCGCCGTTGCCCACGCGTCTCCGCGCGGCGTAGCCTCCACGCGTCCCTGCACGTGTCCCGCAACCGCCCCTGAGGGCTGAGGCGCTGACGGCCTGACCCCACCCGGCCGACTACCCCCGTTCGGCCGTTCCCCTTCTTCCATTGCCCGTTGGCTGCCTGCGCAAGTGCAAAAGGCGAAGGTAAAACCCCCCCACGAAGCAAAGCAACCGCCAGACTTCGCCGTACTCCACCACCAGAGCATGCGCGTTGCCGCGACTCGACTCGCCGCCGCTCCCCCTCCGAGCCGCTTCCTGCTCCTCCTGATACTACTCGGTTCCGCGTCCCTCGCGATCGGAGCAGCCATGGCCGGCCACGTCCTCGGCGGCGTGAAGGAGAACCCCGCCGCCGCCAACAGCGCCGAATCCGACGGGCTCGGCCGCTTCGCCGTCGACGAGCACAACAAGCGCGAGGTCCGTGGCCTCCCTTCCCTTCCGAGTTCCTCGTCCCCTTCGGGTGCTCCGTGATTTGCTTGATTCCTATGCTGATTTGGGGTTTTATTTGATCCCATGTATCTATGTGCGTGGTTGCAGAACGCGCTGCTGGAGTTCGTGCGCGTGGTGGAGGCCAAGGAGCAGGTGGTGGCCGGCACGCTGCACCACCTCACGCTCGAGGCCATCGAGGCAGGGAAGAAGAAGCTCTACGAGGCCAAGGTCTGGGTCAAGCCATGGCTCGACTTCAAGGAGCTCCAGGATTTCAGCCACAAAGGGGAGGCCACCACCTTCACTAACGCCGACCTCGGCGCCAAGAAAGGTTCGCGCTCCCGCCTATGAATTGATGGGACATTGCTACTACTGTTGATGACTCCTGTCCTCTAACTGTAACTGCATAGCGAGTACAAGGGCTGGGGCCTGTGTGGTCTGTGCAAAGTGTTTGTAGAGATGCCTCAGCGCTGATTGTTCGACCTGGGCCATCATTGTGCTTTGGATGGAGGAAACAGATCCTCAGGAGTAGTAAGAGGGTAGGTGCCGATCTACGCCCTGTTCGCTTGGTTTATAAGCCGTATTTTTTCACCCAACGAATAGTATTTTTCTCTCGCAACAAATCAGCCAACGGTACTTTCAGCCATGGCTTATCAGTCAAGCGAACATGGCTAGTTTGGAATTGCGAGTGGGATTGAATTATAGATCCCATTGGATTCTACATAAATAGAGTAAATATGACAATAGTGACTGGTGGGATCTTCATTATTTCAAATCAAAATTATTTCGACAAATTGTGGAAAGTTGTGATGGGGTAACCATTGTGAAACAAGAAGGGAAACATCATTAGCAGGATAGCATCCGATGTATCTTCTTAGAGTTTAGGTCAATAGATGATTCACTTAAAAACTAATTGGCATAGGTCAGTCATCCTTGCTGAATGTTGGCCCACAGTTAGCCTCCCGACCACTGAGATAGCCTCCAGACCATTATAGATAGCCTCCAGACCACCGTGATGGCCTCCAGACCACTACAGATAGCCTCCAGACCACCGAGATGGCCTCCAAACCACTACAGATAGCCTCCCGACCACCCTTGGTCTCACAGGATCACCGGCTCATGACAGTGAGCCACTCTAGCCGATCTTGCCGTGCACCGGCTCAGGCGAGTGGAGCACTTGACGATCTCGCCGAGCACGCGCTAGTGTTGCCGAGCACCCACTAGCCATGCAGATCACGTACCGGTGTTGTCCGTACCCACACACTACGGATGGAGTTGGGAGAAGAAGGGAGAACAGAGCAAGCACGCACAATACAAGACAACAGCGTTGGCCGAGGCCCTGTCTGTGTGATAGCAAATCTGAGCTCTCTTTCTTGAGTTGCCATACATGTCTATTTATACAACTCTAACTATCTAGTCCATGTGCGGCGCCCATGTCATGCGATAACTAGATAACTTTGACGCAAGTGACTCTGCTGCAAGCCACTTGCCATTCTCTGATCTTTGTCAGGTGAGCCGTCTGGCGCTTGCACCTCACAAACTCTGATATCACGAGGGGGGCAAAGTCGGCGCCGCCTTCCCTTCTTGTGTTCACACACGGCCAGCGCTAAAGTCGGCGGCGCCGCCCTCCTCTGCAGTGTTCATACAAGGTGGCGATGATTATTAGCTAACAATCTTTCCCTAATCTTCTTGCTAACCCTTGTACCCCTCTCTATGCCGATCATCTCCTTCACTCTCGTGAGTCGAAGTCGTCCGAAAGCGGCTTGGTGAGGACGTCCGCGAAGCCGCCGAAAGCGATTTAACGAACTTCGATGACGATTTGCCCTCCATCAACACACGGTCCACGAGGAAGTGGAACTTCACGTCGATGTGTTTACTCGGGTCGTCTGAACCGGATTCTTCGCGAGGGCGATGGCGGTGTCGGTTGTCCACCATCGATCTTTGGTGGGTGAGCTTCTCAAGCGGTCGGCTCGCCCGGCCGGCCGTAGCTAACACACAACAACACGTCATTGTGGGTACGCTTCGCTCGTACTCCGCCTCGCACGTAGATAGCGCCACCATCTTCTCGCTTCAACGACAACCATGAAATTGGGGCGACCGGGAAGACGAAACACGCCAGAGGTGCTCCGTCGTCCGTCGATGTCCCCGCCATGTTTGCATCGGCCCGAACACCGTGAGTCGCAGCCTACTTCCCCGGTCTTTGGGAAGATGATTTCATGATTCACCATCCCCTTGACGTAGCGTAGCGTACCGTTTCACCGTAGCCCGATGATCCTCTCGGGATCCTCCATGAAGCGGCCGACGTAGCCCACGCCGAACGCAATGTCCGACCTCGTGTGGACTAGATAGCGCAGATCACCGCCGGCGATCTTGCGGTAGAGTGTTGCATCCACTTTCGCCAAGCGGTGCTTGTCGCCCGTCGCCTTCGGCGCCGCTTCCTCCATCGAGTCGCATGGCTTGCACTCCACCATGCCGCTCCTCTCCAACGACTTGAAGGCATACACGCTTTGCCCGGCGTGAGTTCCTCCTTCCATGTCTCACCTCGATGCCGGGTAGTAGGAAGAGTGCCGAGATCGCTCATTCGGAAACGAGCTGCCATCTCTCGCTTGAAGTCGTTGATATCCTCCGTGCGGCGCGGCGATTTATTAAGTCATCCACATACACGCCGACCACGAGCTCTTCCTTCCCCGTCGTCGGCGTGTAGAGCGCGCGTGCTTTCGGTTGTACACCTCTGAAACCCAAGCTCGCCCGGTGGTGGTGTCAAGCTTAGCGTTCCATGCTCGAGGGCTTGCCGCGACCGTAGAGCACTTTTTATGCGATCGGAGCACCACAATGCTCCTCTCCCTTGACAAATGAACCTTGGAGGTTGCCCGACGAAGACCGTTTTCGCCATTTCGCCGTTGAGGAAGGCCGATTTAACGTCCATGTGATGGACGCGCCCGATCCTTTTTGATGCCAAAGCAAGTAGCAAGCGGACCGACTCCATGCACGCTTCTTTGGTGCAAAGACCTCCTCGAAGTCGATGCCCTCGCGTTTGGACAAAGCTTGAGCGACGAAGCGCGCCTTGTGCTTGACGATGGCACCGAGCTCGTCCCTTTTGACTTTGTACACCCACTTCAGTGATCGGACGGCATCACGGAGGTGGATCGACGAGCCGCCAAGTCTCGTTTTCTTGATCGCCTTCATCTCCTCCAAAGTCGTCCGTCGCCGATTTCCATCGCGCTTCGGCTAAGCGCGAACGTGGTGGTTCCTCTCCAGACCGACGAGTAGCGACTTTGCGTCGTTGAAGCGACCTACCCGCCAGACTGAGGGACACTGTGTGCCCGACGATGTCGTCCGACTGCGGAACCTCGACTCCTCACCTTCGTGGTAGGCGTCCACGAACTTCGATGATGTCACTTGGAGGTGAGGTGAACTCGATCGGGGTGATGGAGTTCCTTCTTCCATTGGAGTGCCACGCGCATAGCACCCGTAGTACTTGGCATCGATTCTGATTGCTCGTCATAACTCCTGCGGTGTTCGGCCACCTTTGTAGGAGTGCCTAGCCTCGATCTTGGAGTGGTGGGAACCACGATGAAGACGTCTTGGCTCCGCCACAGGAGTGCTTTCGGCACCCGTCTCAAGTGGTCGGCACCACTGCAGAAACCTCTTGGCTCCACTTCGCGGCGTGCTCGGCATCCCTCCAAAAGTGCTCGACACTCCTCCCGGAGTGCTCGGCGTTGCCCAAGTGCTCGACTCTCTCATTTGGAGTGCTCGGCGCTCCTCCGGAATCGTGGCACCTGTTCATGAGCGTCTCCACCGCCGTGGATGACCAAATGCTCGGCAGCGAAGGTGTTGGGAAGCCTCTGCTTTCCCCGTGCTCGGACTGTTCCATCCCCAAGCCGCCTCCTCGTTGAACACAACGTCGCGACAGACAGATCACCTTGTCTCCGTGTGGGTCATAGAGCCGGTATGCCTTGGTACCCTCCGCGTAGCCTAGAACACCATGGGTGTGCTCACATCCTCCCGGCTTGGTGAGGTTCGACCGTCTTCCCGACATGGCCGATGCATGCAACCAATGTCTGGAGGAATGACACGTTCGGCTTGCTCTGTACCAAGCTTGAACGGCGTCTTGCCCGTTAGGGCCTTGGTTGGAGCGCGGTTGAGGATGAACACCGCCGTGGTCACCGCCTCTCCCCAGAACTTTGCCGACATCCCTTTGGCCTTCATCATGGATCGGGCCATGCCGACCACTTTGTCTGGTTCCGCCGCTCCACCACGCCATTACTGTTTTTGGCGAGTACGGTAGCGGTGTGATGTTGTCCCACACCTCCGATCCGCGCGATGACGTAGCAAACTCCACCAAGTGAATTCACCACCCGATCATCGGTCCTCGATGCGGAGCTTCTTGCCGCTCTCGGCCTCCGCCTTGAACTCTTGAACTTCTTGATCGCCACCACCGGGAGCTTGCGGTCCTTGCTTCAATCGTCGAGTTGCGGAGGAAGTACCGCCACGACCACATGTAGCAACCGCAAAAAAATCGTCCAGGGCCGAACAGAAGAAAGTACTTCTCTTAATCTTAGCCCCTCCACCGCATATGTAGCGCGTGAGAGGACTCGGCCCGCGTGAGGTCGCCATGAACTAGCTCGAGAGCTTTCTTGCTCGAGAGCTTCCTTGGCGATACTTGGCCGCCTTTGGGAAAGGTAGCCTCCTCTGCTTCCCGGCCGCAGCGGTATCACATACAGCTTCGCCTCCGTGCTGATGTGGGGTAGCCCTCGGACCATCTCGCCCCGGCCAACCAAAGCACGCGTCGGTGAGATGTCCGAACCGGGCATGCCACATCCACGGTTCCTCGGAGTGCTTTTGCCGCCAGCAAAAACGGTTGTTCTACCTTCGGTCGGCGGTACAACCGGTTCGAGGACCTCTTCACCTTGGCGAAAGTCGCCGCTCCCGTCTCTCGATCCTCGAACGCCGTCCTTGATCGAAACCTCGCTACGCGCTCATCCACCGACCAATCTGCGATGATCTTGGAACGCAATTGCGGGATGTAGTATACATCCGTTAGCGCGCGGTGCTTCCCGTTCTGGTATGTGAAGATGATGGTGCCGCGTCCTTGGATAGCCACCCTTGAGCCGTCACCAAACTTCACCGTACCGGTAACATCGCCGTCGAGCTCGGAGGAGTCCTTGGAGCCCGTCATGTGGTTCTTGGCACCGAGTCCGAGATACCACCGCTGCTCCTGGTCGGCGCCCACACGCCGAGATGGACTTGGGCACGTGGTTCGTCGAGGTTGACGGTCTTCAGGGCCTTGCTAGATCCTTCCACCGTTGTCGCCTCTTCCCTCTCCATGGCCTCGACGTCGTGCAGTGCACAGAACATCGCCATAAGGGTAGTGGCCTCATCCTCATCATCGGCTTTCGCCAGGTGAGCCTGAGCCTTCATTTCCTTCTTGCGATTTGGGCACTCCCGTGTCCAATGGCCCATCTTCCTGCAACACCGGCGGCGTTGAGTCGATGTGCTTCTTCTTGAAGAAGCCTGTCTCGATGCTTGCCCTTGCCACCGCGACCGAGGAGGCTGCCTTCCGGAGTTTCGCCGCCGAGATCCCACTCCTCTTCCGTCGGCCAGGAGTTTTCCGCATTCGCCGTTCTTGTCGCTTTGCCCCAAGTGCTCGTCCATCGCCCAGACGGCTGCCACATCCTCAATGGTGAGGGTGGACAAGTCCAACATCGTCTCTATGGAGAGAGCGATCTGGATGTACTTTTGCTTGACGCGAGTGGAGGAATTTGGAGACCGCCTCCTCTTCGTCGATGGTGGCCGCCGTGGCTCTTCGGTTCTTCGATGAGCGTCTGCAGGCGGAGGGAAAAGTCCTCCACTGTTTCACCATCCTTGAACTTGAGGTTCGCGTACTCCTACTTCAAAAGCTGGGTCGTCGCCTTCTTTGCGCGGTCGGAACCGACGCGCATCGCCGCAATGGCATCTCACGCCTCCTTAGTGAACTTTTCGTCCCCAACGGTTCCACAGAACTCCGCAGGTGCAAGCAGCCGAGGATAGCCTCCAACGACGACATGTCGTCTTCTTCCACGCTTAAGTGCCTTGTCAACAGACATTCCAGGCAGCCGCTTTGGGCTCGAGCTTGACCTTCATGGTCACCGACCACTCTCCATAGTTAGTGCGAGTCGGCGTCGGCCAAGTGGTGCCGGTGACCTCCCGCCCGTCGAACAACTACATCCGGTAGTGGCTGGGCAGCCACGACAGTGCCACTGTCGTCGCCCAACTCCGAACCATCTGTCATCGCCCTCGGTTAGAATGACGACGGCGCTTGTACGGCTCCGATACCACTTGTTGGCCCACAGTTAGCCTCCCGACCACTAAGATGGCCTCCAGACCACTACAGATAGCCTCCAGACCACCGTGATGGCCTCCAGACCACTACAGATAGCCTCTAGACCACCGAGATGGCCTTCAGACCACTACAGATAGCCTCCCGACCACCCTTGGTCTCACAGGATCACCGGCTCACGACAGTGAGCCACTCTAGCCGATCTTGCCGTGCACCGGCTTAGGCGAGTGGAGCACTTGACGATCTCGCCGAGCACGCGCTAGTGTTGCCGAACACCCACTAGCCGTGCAGACCACGTACCGGCGTTGTCCGTACCCACACACTACGGACGGAGTTCGGAGAAGAAGGGAGAACAGAGCAAGCACGCACAATACAAGACAACAGCGTTGGCCGAGGCTCTGTCTGTGTGATGGCAAATCTGAGCTCTCTTTACTGAGTTGCCATACATGTCTATTTATACAACTCTAACTATCTAGTCCATGTGCAGCGCCCATGCTGGCACAGTAACTAGATAACCTGACAGGGCTGACTCTGCGCCGGCCACTGCCTGTTCCTACAGTGCTGTAGGTGAGCCGTGCGGCGCCTGCACCTACAGCGGCTATAGTATCACAGCAGGGGGCAAAATCAGCGCCGCCTTCCCTTGCTGTGTTCACACACAGCAGACGGCTAAGTCGGCGTCGCCTTCCTCTGCTGTGTTCATACAAGGTGGCAGTAGATTATTAGCTAACACTGAATGGGGAAACCATGATAAGTTTAATTCAAGCACATAGCGGGTCTGAACTCTTGCTGGAGGGATTTGAAACCATATTTAGGAAGACCTAGGTTGCAATCAGATGTGTGCGTTCATAAGCACTACCAGTAGTTATGGGATTTGGGCCGAGTTTTAACTGTCTGAAGCCTCAAGGGTAACAGGGTTTAAGTCACATTGTGCAGAAGAGTTACGACTTGGAAGTTTGGGGTTTACAACTCTATCAGTTCAGTTACTTACACAAGATAACTTGATAGCTAGGCTAGGCAAGACAGCTTGGTCTGCTTGTACACATGGTTCTGGGAAATGAAATGGACTCCTCCCGCACACAAAGTTTATAGCACTATAACTGAGTCAAACCACTGCCAAATGGTGAGCATTGATCCCACATACACTGCTTTGCCTAGTTGCATATAGGGACCATGGATGTTGATATATTTGATTACTTAGTTATTTCTAGTTTTATTTGGTGTTTAATTTTGATATACTGGATGTACATTCAGTTGATCACTGGTCATGAAAGCTGATAAATCGCAAATGTGCCCCACCTTAACTTCAGCCCTAGTCACAGTGTTGACGTTCTGATGTTCATAGGATGTAAATTTTAATTACAAAGTGGTACTTGGCCTTTTGATCATGTTAAAGTTGCAGTCCTTTTGTTTCAGTATGTTGATTGTGGCATGCATGCTAGAACCTAGCCCATGACATACTAAAAGGCTGGAGATTATGTTGCATATATATTTTTTAAAACTTCTATAATTGGCATTTAATTGGGGATACTGCAGGTGGACATGAGCCTGGTTGGCGTGAGGTTCCTGTAGAGGATCCTGTGGTCAAAGATGCTGCACACCATGCTGTGAAATCTATCCAAGAGAGGTCCAACTCCCTGTTTCCCTATGAACTTCTTGAGATCGTTCGTGCCAAGGCACAGGTTAGTTGCTGCAAATTGGTTCTTAAACTCTGAGTCTTTTTCAAACCTTTCCAGTTATAGCTTAAAGTTTTGTTTGATGCCACTTCTATGATTAGGTTGTGGAGGACTTCGTAAAATTTGACATTCTGATGAAACTGAAGAGAGGCAGCAAGGAGGAGAAGATCAAAGCCGAGGTCCATAAGAGCCTGGAAGGGGCTTTTGTACTAAACCAGCATCAGCCGGCGGAGCATGATGAGTCGAGCAGCCAATGAACTGACGTAACTGAGAGCTGTAGTAATGTAGTTTGTGTTACATAAAATAAGGAGAAAACGTGGCCACTCCTGTTTTATCTGGATATCGTGTATGGTCGATGGTCGTTGCTGGTGGCTTGGCTTCCGAATGCAGCAGGCAGCCCGGTGCTGTTCCAACTCGTTGCAAGACAGGTGGTACCTGCTGTTGCTGTTGCTGTTGCCGTTATAATAGGCATTGGAACTCGTGAATTTCGGGAGCTAACTGTTCGTATTGTATTGTTTAATATGATGGATCGTATGTGGATATATGTTATGCCACTACACTTTGCCTTTTGGTTGCTTGCGAGCGGTGTATGCCAAGTTAGCTTAAGCTGCCAATGTCACTATCAGATACATATCCTTTTTTTTATTCTCCCGCGCACTGGTGGTTTTCTAGTGTGTGATCATGCCAGCTCCAGGAACAAGACAATTACGTATTCACATATAGAATAGTAACAGTTCGCATGGTTCATAGGATTACAGATACACATGACAACAGGTTTAGGAAAAAAAAACTGCATCCTGGTACAAGCACGATATATAATCAATCAGAGGCATTGGTTCGGCCGAATAGGTGGCAGCAGCATCCGACTACCTTATTACATGGTATTAGGAACTGTATAACAATCCCCCAATGAAAAAGGTAACCGCATAACAAACCAACAGAGATGCATGGCTGGTAATAAATAGTCCAGGTGCTAAATGACAATTTTTCTCAGGCGTATGGGTGCAGCGATTTGATGTCTTCGTCAACTTAATGGTCCTCGGTCTCATCCACCAAGTGCACCATTACCCATCAGCACCTGTGCCCGAGACAGAACAATAACAGTTCAGAGCAAAACCCTACAAGAATATTTAGGTAGTAGAATGGTAGTATGTCAAAAACAATCTCACAAAAGAATCAGTTGCGGCAACTAGCATTTGGATCTCCTAAAAAAGATCAAACATCAAGTGACGAGGATAAAAAAGGTACTGAGCATACTTACAAAAGAAACCAACTAACAGCAAAAGCCTGTTGACATTATACTATACTCATACTTTTACGTTGGTCTATGGCTAGTAAGATAAGTCAGCAATAGTAAGTGTATGATTGCCGGCCAGTTTTATGAGCAAAGGATATAGAGAAACAATCTAAAAGCCACAGAAAGAAATGTATATATTGTCAACGTACATTGGGTCTATTATGTCAACTGGATTATTTGGAGTTGTCCTGGATAACTCAATCTTCTCTATATAAACTCTTGGTCTGTTTGGATGGAACTTGGCCTCAGCTATCATTCCCTGCACTAGGGAGTCAACAATAGTTTCACCGAAGAACTCAACCTCCACGAGTCTCGGGAGGTTCTCAATGCCGAAAATACCATTTGCAGGCTGTCTCTCAAAAGCCAGTGTGAGCCTCTCGAGATTAGGGGCACCTCCATCAAATCTGAGCTCATCAAGGTTTGGTGCATTGTCTATAATCAGCTGCTTGAGCCTGGGAAATAGATTTTTCTGAAAGCAGAGGTGTGTTCCCATGAATGATTCGTGGTAGAGTTTGAGAGATACAAGACTTGGAAGCTTCCCCAGTTGGTGCAGCAAATCCCCATCAAGAAAATTCTCTCGGAGGGATAGTTCAATTAAGTAGCTAAGGGATGAAATCCATGGAGGCAGGACACTTAGTCTTCCCCACAAGTACAACGTTTCAAGGAAGACGGGGGGTGATGTTAACTCGAGGAAGATTTCAAGTCCGATATCCCTGTTGCGCCAGTGGATGATAGACAGGTGCCGAATGGACTTCCATAGCATGTTCAGTGACGCAGCAAAAGGTTCCCATTTTTCTCCACCACTCATGGTTTATAGCACAAAGCTTGGTCAACTGGGACAACACACCCACTTCCTGCATCGCGCTGGCGGAGCTTGTTACAATGTCAATATGGGCAATCCTTTGAATGCATTTCATGTTCTTCAAGCCATGCGGTATCCTAAGAGCTTTGTATGGTTCAAAAAGCTTGACTCGGCTCATCTTTGTGTAGTGCCTATACCAGCCGCCAAGTAGATGCTTCAGATTTCCCAGCCAAGTGATGGTTTCAGGTAAGTCCCTAATGGATGTCTCCCTTACATCCAGTGTTACCAGCTCCTTCAGTCTTCCAACTAGCTTGGGCAGACCTGTAACATTTGTTCTTCTAAGGCTAAGATACCTTAGCAGAGTCAGTTTACATATTTCCTTCAAATCTTCATCACTCAGCCACTGACAATCTTCAAGGTCTAAAACCCTTAACAGTTTTAAGTGAGCAAAGGTGATGGGCAGTGGTTTCTTGTTGCACCGCAGAATTAACAGTGAACGGGTGTGAGAAAAGTTAATGTTGGGGTCATCAGCATCTTCATTTTGCTCTTTACCATTGCCACTGACATCAGTATGAATTGAAAGTCGCTTGATCTTGTCGTGCCCCGGTGCGCTGTATTGTCTACTACCCATGAAAGAAATGAAGTTCTCTTGGATAGACTTGTAGGTGATCACTTCCAGCATTATGTCATGAACCTTACAGCACCTGACCAAACCAGTGCTAGCAATGCGGGTCGGTGTAACGATGCTTCGACTCACGAATTCATCGAGACACTTTGTTGCAACCTCCTCTAAATTTGATTTGTGCATTCCGCTGATGAAACCTTCACTGCCCATCGTCTAACCAGGGGTCTTCTCTTTATCTCGTAGTCCTCAGGGAATACACTAAGATACAAGAAGCAAGCCTTCAAATAGTAGGGCAAATCATGGTATCCAAGAGCGAGTATCCTTCTCATTCCTCCTATAGTTGGATTTGTTTCTAACCCTGAACCCAATCTGTCACACAGCTTTTCCCATTCTGCTCTCGTCTTATTTTTTGTTCGAGCTAGCATTCCTCCAATGCAAACTATGGCTAGTGGCAAACCACTGCATTTTTTCAATATGCTGTCAGAGATTACTTCCAAATCATGATATGATGGAGGACATATATTGGACTTGAATACTCTCTTATAAAATAGCTTCTTAGATTCTTCAAAGGGTAGAGGTTTCATACTGTAAACAAGATTGTGGAGACCAGAGCAGCAACTTTCTGCAACGTTGAGATCACGAGTAGTAATTAATATTCTACTTTGTTTGTCATTATCAGGAAAAGCCACCTTCAAGTTCGCCCAATCCTTTGGACTCCACAAGTCATCCAGAACAATGAAGTACCTATGGATGAAAAAAGATGCTTATCAAACAAGAAAACAATTAGCAAGTGAAACTGTAAAAATTTACTGAATGATTTGACTTCATCTAATAAAATATGACGGCAGCAATTTTCAAGTAGTACACGCCTCAGCCAATTATTTCATCTAATGATGTAATGGAAGAACTTACTCAGAAGGTGTTATGGACGCACTTTTCATAACAAATCCACCAATATTTGTTTTATGCGGGCAAACCTAAACAATTTTAACTGTGTCATGGTTTCAGAATCTTACTGGGCGCTCATTCTAAATGTTATCGATGTATTTAGAATGGGGAATGTAGTAAAATAATCTTGATCCAAGGGTACTGAGACATTAGCTTTGTACAACTTGAGATATATTTTTGCACTTATCTTGGCATAAACTAGAATGAGTAAGATAGAGATGTGCAACATTCCAATCAATGTCAAACCTCTGCAATTGGATTAAACGAGGAACACCTAGGTGTTTGGTTCAATACAACACTTAAGAAAAAAATAAAATTTTTGAAAGTAAAGTAGTAAATAATAGATTGGGAAATCTTTATCATACTAAATGTTAGATTAAACAAAAGGTCTGCCCCCCGTCTATCATCAGTTTGATCTACTGTTTGCCTAAACGGTCATTAGGCCTTTTAAACACAGCTAAACTCTACATGATGGTACATTATTTCTATTTAATCTACCGTTTATCCTGTTTAAATGGTCATTTCACCCCTTTAAATGTCCGTTTAGCTCATATAATGGTTAAACAGTAGGGAACCGACTATTTAGCATTTAGAAAATGCTATTAGATAGTACTTATCGTCTTACCCAACATAACAACTCCACTTTAGTATTTACTGAAAACAACCACTTCAACATTTGCTGAAACCAACACAAATGTATGTGTCCACCACGAGAAAACCAAGTGAAGAATGAACTATTTGCTTATAGCTATGGTAGAAAATGAAAGGTTTTATGGTTAAAAGTGGAAAATAAGCTGCGGCCATGATTCAAGTTTGAAAAGTTGTTTTAGACGGTAAATGTTAACGAACAAAGAATCTAGGATCATCAAGGGTTAGGCTAACCCCGTTAGGTAGTATCATTGTATCATACTCTGTTATGATCAGTAATACGTACGAGCGCAGGAACCGTGTCTAGAGTCCGGAGTTGCTACGGTGGTTCGTGATCACCAAGCCAAGTCGGTTAGCAAGTCCTAAAATCTAGGACTATTATCTTTAGTTTGTTATTTATTTAAGTCAGTTGTTATTTGCGTAAGTCAGAGTCTAGTCGGTTGAGGATTGCTTGTATAAGTACTACATAATTACGATTGAGTAAAGCAGCCTGGGATTAAGATTAATCTCTTCCCTGGACGCCCAGGCGTCACTTGTCTTGCCGTGCTACTGCCCTACCATCTGCTCGATCACGGCGCCTCCAACTCAACGCCGTGATTCAGGACCTCGCGCCCTAGCCTCGCCTCCCTACTACCTCCGTAGCAAAGCACGCCGTATCAATCTGGTATCAGCGTTCATGGCTACGTCTGGTCCTGGAGCACCGGCCATCCCTCCCACCACCGCCGCCTCCGCCGCCACCACCCGGCCGCTCGTGCCATCCACATCTACGGCCAACTTTGGGCCGTTCCAACCACAGCCGGCCCCTCCCAAGCCCTCCGTCGAGGACAGCCTAGCCGCGCTGACCCTCGCTGTTCAAGGCATGCAGCGTCAGCTGGGGGAGGTTTCTCTGCGATTGACGGCCGTCGAAGGCCGCCCTGGTCCCTCGGCGACACCACCCCTTCCATACTCCCAGCCTCTACTCCTTGGCATGCCGGGGTACGGCAGGATTCCGGCGTCCGGGCCGGTGATCTCAGAGATTTTGCCTTCGCCGTCGATCTCATCGGCTGAGTCGGTGCTTCCATCATCCGGCGCGCCGACTGCGCCTTCCAGCGTCGCTGTATCGCAGCCACCGGCGACGGGCCTGCCGATCCAATCTATCCCGTTCCCGCATTCGCCGTCGCCACTGCCGTCGATGTCGGCCATCCTGAACGGCGCCGTCATGTCCCCCGCTACTGTGGTACATACACCACCGCACCGCCCACATCCGCTTCCTGTTCATGAAGATCATGGGGAGAGCGCTGGAATTCCCAGATTCCACAAGCTGACTTTTCCTACTTATGACGGCAAAGAAGACCCTCTTGGTTGGCTGAACCGCTGTGAGGCATTCTTCCGCGGCCAGCTCACCCGGGAGACGGACAAAGTCTGGCTAGCTTCGTTTCACATGACCGGCGATGCTCAACATTGGTACTACATCATGGAGCGCGACACTGGCCGCTCGTCCTGGGACGCGTTCCGGCTTCTATGTCATCAGCGCTTCGGGCCGGCCTTGTCCACCAACCACCTGGCGGACCTCGCTCGCCTTCCATTCACCAACAGCGTCGACTCCTACATGTCGGCGTTCCAGGCACGGTTAGCACATGGCGGCCGCTTGGATCCGGTCCAACAAGCGCAGCTGTTCACAGGGGGGCTCCCGGACTACATCCGCGTCGACGTTGAGCTTCATGAGCCCCAGGATCTGCACCGCGCCATGCGCCTGGCACGAGCCTATGAGCACCGCAACGCGCCATCGCGACTTGCTCTTCCAGCCACGTCCAACAGACTGTCTCGCCGCACGGGCCAGGGACAGCCGGCCTTGCCTCCTCCCGGTGGTGCATCGTCACAGGCTGCCTCGTCCTCACAACCTCCGGCGCGAGCCTTCAAGTTCCTCACCCCGGCGGAGATGTCAGAACGCCGCAAGCTCGGGTTGTGCTACAATTGTGATGAGCCGTACGTCCAGGGCCATAAGTGTGCGCGTCTCTTTTTTTTGGAAGTTGCTGATTATATTGTGCACGAACCTGAGACGGATGATGAAGAGGACCAACCTGCGGGCCAAGAAACGCCCACGATCTCCCTGTCAGCTATCGCCGGGATCCGGACTGAAGACACCATGCAGGTGTCTGTTCAGATTGGGGGCATCCAGTGTTTGGCCTTGCTGGATTCAGGATTGACTCACACGTTCATCAGTGGGGACATAGCTCGGCGCGTTGGCATACACTTCGAACCATGCCCAGGTACCGGCGTAGTCGTGGCCAATGGTGACCGCGTTGCTTGTCGCGGCCTTGCCCACGACGTGGGCATTCGTATTGCCGACGAGGTCTTCTCAGTTGATTGCTACACAATTCCTATGGATAAGTGGGACATGGTCCTCGGGGTCAACTTCTTGCGCACGCTGGGGCCGATTCTATGGGACTTCGATGACCTTTGTATGGCATTCACCAGAGGAGGCAAGCGAGTGTTTTGGCGCGGCATCGGTTCTACTCGGTGGGATGTGCAGTCTACACGCCGCCTCAATGCACTCCAGGAAGTCACGGCCAGTACAGACAACCCTCTGTTGGACAAGCTGCTCTTGTCTTTTGACGATCTCTTCGCCACACCTGAAGGCTTACCCCCCGCTAGTGCCTGTGATCACCGCATCCATCTTCTTCCAAACACGACTCCGGTGGCTGTGTGACCATATCGATATCCCCAGCTCCAGAAGGACGAGCTGGAGTCACAATGTGCCGCGATGCTGCAGCAGGGCGTGATCCGTCCAAGTACAGCAGCGTTCTCCGCTCCGGTACTCCTCGTCAAGAAGCACGACGGCTCGTGGCACTTTTGTGTTGATTACCGCGCTTTGAACAAGGTCACCGTCAAGGACAAGTTCCCTATTCCCGTGGTTGAGGAGCTGATTGATGAATTACAAGGGGCACGATTCTTCACAAAGTTGGATCTGTGGTCGGGCTATCATCAAGTCCATATGCACGAAGCGGACATAGAGAAGACAGCATTCCGCACTCATGAAGGTCATTTCGAATTTTTGGTGATGCCTTTCGGACTCTCGAATGCACCGGCGACGTTTCAAAGCCTCATGAACACCGTGCTCCGGCCGTTCTTGCGTAAGTTCGTACTCGTATTTTTTTGACGACATCTTGATTTATAGCCCATCTTGGTCGACACATTTGCAACACCTCAATGCTGACATCTTGATTTATAGCCCGTCTTGGTCGACACATTTGCAACACCTCAATGCTGTCCTCACTGCGCTACGCGAACATCAACTCCGGCTCAAGCGTTCCAAGTGCTCTTTTGCTACTACCTCAGTACAGTACCTGGGGCACGTCATTTCATCGGCCGGGGTCGCTATGGATCAGGATAAGGTGGTGGCCATCACCAGCTGGCCACAGCCCGCCACGGTGTGCGGGATGCGTGGGTTCCTCGGCCTCGCAGGCTACTACCGCCGCTTTATCAAGGATTACGGCACAGTGGCTGCTCCCCTGACCACGCTCCTCAAGAAAGAAGGGTTCCTCCGGGCGCCAAAGCCCATCAAGCATTTGATGCCCTCAAGAAGGCGCTCTCGGTGGCGCTTTGTGCTTCATCTCTGCGGATTTCGACAAGACTTTAAATCGTCGATCGCGATGCATCCGGGGCGGGTTTTGGTGCGATGATTCATCAAGGTGCCGGGCACTAGCATTTTTCACCCGTCCTTTTGCAGCTAGGCACCTCAAATTAGCGACTTCGACGGGGAGCTTATTGGTCTCGTCCAAGCCGTCCCGACACCTTTGGCGACCATATTTATGGGGACGACAGTTTGTTGTCTTATACGAGATCATTATGCCCTCAAATTCCTGCTTGATCAACGCCTCTCTACTGTACCCCAACACCAATGGGTGAGCAAGTTGTTCGGATATGATTTTGCGGTGGAGTATCGACCAGGCAGTCTCAATGTGGTCGCCGATGCATTATCACGACGTACTGATGTTGACCTGCAGCTTCAATCCGTGTCTGAGCCAACTTTCCAGCTGTTCACGGACCTTCGTCATGAGCTGCAAGTCAATGGCGACCTTCGCGCCCTCCGGGACTCCGTGGTAGCTGCACGCGGCGAGCCCTTGCAAGTCACTGATGGACTGATCAAGCGGGGCGGCCGTGTCTTCATTCCAGCAGGGTCTGCACTCTTGCCCAAGGTCCTCCAGTTAGCCCACGGCGTGGGTCATGAAGGCTCAGAAAAGACCCTCCATCGTCTACGCAGGGAGTTTGTGTTCGACCACGATCGCCGTCTTGTCAAAGAATTTGTCCGTTCTTGTTTCACTTGCCAGCGCAACAAAACGGAGCATCTGCACCCCGCCGGCCTCCTTCAACCTTTGGAAGTCCCCTCCCAGGTCTGGTCCGATATCTCCATGGATTTTGTGGAGGGCCTTCCCCGCGTTCATGGGAAGAGTGTCATCTTGACAGTGGTCGACCGGTTCTCGAAGCAGGCGCACTTCCTCCCTTTAAGTCACCCCTACACAGCAGCAACGGTGGCAAGGGCGTTCTTTGACGGCATAGTCCGGCTGCATGGGTTTCCGGCCTCCATTGTAAGTGACCGTGATCCGGTGTTCACAGGCCACGTCTGGCGCGACCTCTTCAAGCTCGCCGGGGTCAAGTTGCGGATGAGTACTGCCTTCCACCCTCAAACCGACGGGCAGTCCGAGGTCGTCAATCGGACCATTGCAATGTACTTGAGGTGTCTCACTGGTGATCGACCGATGACTTGGTTGGACGGGTTGCCGTGGGCTGAATATTGTTACAACACGAGTTACCACTCCGCACTCCGAACCACTCCATTCGAAGTAGTTTATGGCCGTGCCCCACCGGTCCTTCTTCCATACACGACTGGTACAGCACGGACTGACACCGTGGACAGGCTCTTGACCGACCGTGACACGTTCCTCGCAGAAGTTCGCGACCGGCTACTCCAGGCACAGGAATACGCCAAGCGGCACTATGATGCCCGACACCGGGTTCTGCAGTTCAAGGTCGACGATTGGGTTCTCCTGCGCCTTCTGAACCGACCAGCTCAGTCCCTTCTACCGGGTGTGCGTGGGAAGCTGAGTCCCCGCTATGCAGGTCCGTTTCAAATTGTGGAACGCGTGGGCGAGGTCGCCTATCGCCTGCGTCTGCCAGAGGGAGCCCGGATCCATGACGTTTTTCATATCGGAGTTCTCAAGCCCTTCAAGGGCACCCCTCCTATGTCTACACCGGCGCTGCCTCCTCTCCATAATGGTCGTCTGCTTCATCGTCCAGAACGTGCTCTGCGTTCTCAGCTTCGCCGCGGCGTCTGGCACGTGTTGATCAAGTGGGACTCCTTACCTGAAGACGAAGCCACATGGGAGCCTGTGGACGAGTTCCGTGCTCGTTTCCCCTCGTTCCAGCTCGAGGACGAGCTGTTTCCCAAGGAGGGGAGAGATGTTATGATCGGTAATACGTACGAGCGCAGGAACCGTGTCTAGAGTCCGGAGTTGCTACGGTGGTTCGTGATCACCAAGCCAAGTCGGTTAGCAAGTCCTAGAATCTAGGACTATTATCTTTAGTTTGTTATTTATTTAAGTCAGTTGTTATTTGCGTAAGTCAGAGTCTAGTCGGTTGAGGATTGCTTGTATAAGTACTACATAATTACGATTGAGTAAAGCAGCCTGGGATTAAGATTAATCTCTTCCCTGGGCGCCCAGGCGTCACTTGTCTTGCCGTGCTACTGCCCTACCATCTGCTCGATCACGGCGCCTCCAACTCGACGCCGTGATTCAGGACCTCGCGCCCTAGCCTCGCCTCCCTACTACCTCCGTAGCAAAGCACGCCGTATCATACTCACTATTAGATGCCATGTAGGACTTTTCATTGATGTGGCATCAAACTAATGAAGAGAGAGATAAAGCAGTATCATCCTAGTGATACAGGGGCTATATCAAAAGTTAGAAAGCCGTGGAAAAGTTTGGACCCATTGTCATAGATAAAACAGATACAAGAATTAATTGTTTTGAGGATACTAAGAAACAACATCAAGATACTGTGCACTGGTGTGAGTTGTATCATACTTGTATTTATATGACATGTCAATGTTGAAAACGATGATATAATACAATGCACTATGAAAAGGCTTAGAAGCTCACAATTGCATTTTTGTGCCAAGATAAAAAAAAATACCAACATTAATAGATAGATTGTAAGGCATGTGCATGATTTTGTATAGTTTTGGTGATTTAGTTTGAGAGTTTTGAGTGATTGGGCTGTTGTGATCTTATATCTTGATGAGCCGGAGCACTCGAGGCATTGGCCTTTCGGCAGCGTCAACCTTCCGAGTTTGGTTTGGAGCAGCAGCGACTTGGTGTGCGTGGGACAAGGAGACTCCCTCCTTAATAAGAAGCTCCGTAGTGGATGACGTCAAGGTGAATGGGATAGTCACCGTTTGTTGTGAGCCTTAGCCCCGAGGAAAGGCTTGGTGACTGGAAGCATACTTTGGTGGAGCTCTAACGTTCACTAAGGGATGCACTCTGGCAACTGATACAACAAAATACATCCTCATCTCCCGGAGTTTATCTTCTCTCGACTTACTCTTTACTTACGACATTTAAGTTTCTGCATTGTGCTTGTTTTGTGTGGCTTTTACCATTCCTAGATTAGCATATGCTAGTTGATAGGATTGGCTCTAGGTTACAAGACTCTTCGTAGGTGTGGTTAAGTAGAGCACATTAGAAAATCTTAAGTGCACAACATGCTAGGTCTAAGTTTTTAGAGACCCAATTACTCGACATTAGGATGCTCCTGGTCCTTCCATAGATACTTGGAAGAAAGGAAGAAAGATTTGAAGTCTTCATTTGCAAACCAAAATCAACTCCCAAAAATTAATTCGCAATTGTTGCAATCTTTAAGTGGAGGCGGAACTAAGGGTGTGTTTGGTTCATGGGATGAGATCGGATGGTATCATCCCATTCAGTTTTTTCATATGTTTGGTTGACAGATGAAAAGGGATGAAATTGCTCATAAGTGAGAATATTCTTATGGATGCTAAATGAACTAATCCTAAAAAATTTCTAGAATACAGCCATCTTGGCAACATGGGACATGAGAATGTTATAGTGAGCCCAACGTGTTAAAGTGAGATGGAGCGATTCTTAAAAACAGGGATTGTGCCATCCTAACCCACCTTGCTCTCCAACCAAAATCTACCTAATAAGATAATAAACATGTCCTTGAAACTTGTATTTCTTGATCTTAACAGGAACAGGAAATACCTTTTATCCTCCAAATGCGTTATGCACCTTCCAATGAGTTGGGATATGTGCCAGGTCTCAATGCCTTTGAATGGATCCTCGATGGTTTCTTCCTCAGAGCTACTCGGATCTCCCACTGCCGATGATATTTGTATGAGCTGCCTCAGTAAAGATTCTAGTAGTATGCGAAGATCATAATGCTGGGACACTGCCAAAGTTCGGCTAGGCGGCGACTACGCGCGCCTAGTCGCTGGGCGAAGCCCGTCGCCGCGACTAGGGGCATAGTCGCGCATCGCGGGCGCTTAGGCGGCGCCTTGAGATGAGCGCTCGAGGCGGCCAATTTTGGCGCGCCAAATCGGAGCGCTGGAGGAGAGAGACGGAGATTCCACACCCGTCGGGAGAGCGGGAGGGAAAAAAGCCGCATTACGGGAGAAGTTGCCGACCGACCATTGTCGAGCCGTCACGGCGCTTTGTCTGAGCACGCAAGGAGCGCCAGCATGGGCATGGCCGCCTTTTCTTCCCCAATCACGGGGCTCAGCAGATCCCGCCTCCTCCTGTTCCTCTTCCACCATCGAGAGAGAGAGAGAGAGAGATGGGCGGAGGGAGGGAGGTAACGGGAGGAAAGAGGCAGAGAGATGGACGGAGGCGGAAGTGAGAGTTCATGGCACGCGGTCGCGAGAGAGAGAGAAGACGCTAGGGCTACGAGGGTGAGGGGCACATGGGCTGCTTGGTGCACGTGGGCTGGGCCAGACCACTTCTTACTCCTCCTTTCTTTTTCTTTTTTCCTTTCCTTTTTTCTTTATTATTATCTATATACTGCTCTGAGTTTGCTCAAAAAAAAAATCTATATACTGCTCTGAGCTGCCCTCTTTTTATACTTACTGTGACTCGTATATAGTAGTTATATACATATATATATATATAGTTATATACATAATATATATATAATTTATTGCTATATTGCCAAAACGCCTAGAAAAACGCCTAGGACCGAGTACTCCCGACTAGGCGCTAGGCAATGGGTCAACGCCTAGATTCCGCCTAGCGCCTAGCTGAACTTTGGACACTGCTAGGAAAGCCCGAGTCTGGATTCCTCTCACTGCTGGGGTGTTATAAACGTTCATAGCAAGAGTTGTCTTGCCCAGGCCACCGGAACCAACAATGGGGACAGCTTTGAGACAAGCCAAGTTACCATCGTCCAGGAGCTCGATAAACGATTCGGTCATCTCACTCACTCCCACAAGCCGGGATTCAAATGTTGAGTGCAGGCAGCCAGCGATCTAGATCATCATAGTCGGGAGAAGAACGGCCAGCTGTGTACGCATCGCTTGCACCTCCAAATGATGCTTCCACCTTGTATCTCAGCCTCCGCTCGCTCACCTTCAGTGCACGGGCTTTGAGGTCTTGGATCTCGATGGCCAGCTTGTGCAAAGCTCTCAACGTCTTCAGTGGCCGGGTTATCTTGCGTAGCCAGCCCGCAATGAGATTGTGGTCGAAACGGCGGTGGCCGTGGTGATGCCAGAAGGTGTCAATGCAGTCCTCCACATCATAAGCAACCTCCCTGACTTGTTTCATCCATGTTCTTGTCTACAAAACAAATTCAATTAGCCATTTACTTTTTAGCAGGCATTCTAGCGATAACTATTTAATAATAACTTGTTTTCATCTACCTAGATATGCAATTGCAAAGGGCTGAGGAAATATCAATCACAAACGCTAAGAATGATGTCATTACAATTCACATATAGCTAGCTGTCAGATTAACGCGCAAAATAAAAATGCTTTAAGCTAAGCTTGCGTCCGGTTCCTGGTTCCATATGCATAAAAATGTGTGGTTCACAACCAAGAAGAAAAACTGAACTAGAATGTAACATTTTGGTACCAAATTCGCATAAACGTACAGACAGAATAATTAGGAGGAACAAACTAAGCAACAGTTGACAGAAAGCATGCACATCAGACGAGTTAGTGATCTGTTTCAGTCATAATATGAGATGAGGAGAGGCTCCTCCCGCGGCGCAGCGACATTAGGGCTCCAACATGGAATATTCTAGTGAGATTCGGGGCGTCCCTGTTCCTCACGAAAGAGAGGACGAGTTCGTCCCCGATCGACGCCGTTCTCGCCTTCCAGGCAGGGGCAGCAGCGGGGCGCGCGGAGATGCGCCGCCGCCCGCCGGGCGGGAGAGGAAGGGGCGTGTGGAGGCGCGCCACTGGGAGGGAGCGGGAGGGGCGTGTGGAGGCGCGCCACTGGGCGGGAGCGGGCAGGAAATGAGGAGACGCGCCGGCGCTGCCGGTCGGTAGCGGCCTAGCGAGTGTAGGCACTAGGCAGGTAGCCGAGGCAAGCGGGAGGTAGGCGGCCGGGCTGACAGCAGTGGCGGCGGCTGGAGATTCTGCTCCGGGCAGGGGCGGGGGCGGAGGTGCGTGGTGCGCGGTGCGCGGTGCGCCTCCGGGCAAGGCGGGCGCTCTGGCCGGGCGGGCTCGCTGCGACCAAACAAGGAGGAACAAACTAACCTGAGGCTGACAAGCAGGGCCCACGTGACGGCAGTTAACAGATCTGAAACCGTCCTCCATGGTCTCCCTCTCTGTCTCTCCTACAGTCCTACCAAACACTCTATTCTTTCGTCTCAATCAAATAAACACATGATCATCTCAACCAAAGTTTTGGAATAAATGTTCCTTGTTTAGAATATATGGGTGCTAGCCTTTGCGTAGCTGTTAGCCTACGTATTCTTTCTTGGAGGCGTGTCCATGCAGCCCCTCTTTTCTCGCCGTGGATCTTGCAGCTAAATCCTTGTCCATGTTGGACAGAAGATGACGGTATGTCTACGTCGTGTTGCTTCCCGAAGGTGTTATCTTTGTAGTTTCACGTACGATTCCCATTTTGGTGATTTCATTTTATCATCAAAGTTTCTAAGTAAAGGAGAATACGAAGGATCGTTACCGTACAAGATCGAATTTGAATTTTGAGGCTCAACATTAAGAGTTTGTAAATAAACTATGATGCGAAGGATTGCTACTGCACAAGATCAAAGCAATTTTGAAACAAGAGCATAGAAGTTGGAAGTTTAGCAAGTTTGAAACAAAAATATAGAAGTTGGAAGTTTAGTCTTTCTTGCCCTTTGTTTTTTTCGTATCTCAGTTTTGGCATAAAGACCCTTGTAAACTTTAGTTGTGTATAGATATAGAGGCCAGATTTCTATCTATTTATCTAAAAAAAAGTAAAGATATTAGCTTTAGCCCATCCAAAAAAAGCTAAATAGGTTGGAATTTTTTTAACCAAAATTTAAACTAGTTGTTAGCTTTAACTAATAACTAATCTAACTCATTCAAATAAGGTCTAAATCCGTCCTATCTCTTTCTGTTCTCACTTCTCAAGCAAACGCAATCTATATCTAGCTCATTCAAATAAGCTCTAAATCCGTCTTATCTCTTTTTGTTCTCAAGCAAACATTACCCAAGGGTAGATCCAGAGTGTCGGAGGCTTCCACATGAGTGGGGTCTGGGAAAAAAAAAATCGAGACAAGCCTTCCCCCGCAAAATCTACAGAGGAGCTGCTTCAAAACCACGACCTGATAGTGAGACAACCCTTAGCACTGCACGAGCCCTGCCCTTCAAACGCAGTCTAACAAACATGAATAAAAATCCGACGAAATATATATATCGAGTCACCGTACCTGCTCGATGTGGTGGTAATCGCTGCCAGCGGCGAGGTCACGGAGGCAGGTGTTCATGCTTTCGAGGTCGTCCTTGAGCTCCTGTATCTCCCGGCCGACGCCGCTGAGCAGCACGTACTTCTCGGCGAGGACGGGTGCCGAGCTTGCCCAGGAGGATCCGCAGCACGCCCTCCGTGGAGCTCACCCTGTTCGGCTCGCTGAATTGTGGCTGAAAATAATGTTCTGGCTGAATTCTTGAGAGAAAAAAATATTATTCCAGCTAAAAAACAAATTAAATAGTGCCGTTTTCTGGGTAAGCCGAACGGGCCCAAGACGTGGCTGCCTGCAGTCTGCTCTGCATCTGCTAGTCGCGGGCTCGGTGATCAGTCCATCGTTGGGTTCATTACTTAAACAGGATCCCATCCCATCACAGCTTAGATTAGATACTCCTCTCTTCCGAGATCCTTCTTACTACTGGCCCTCCTCCGTATTAGTTTAGTGACAATAGGGCATCGTTTTTGTTAGAGTTTCTTACTATTTATTTTGTTTTATTTTTATTTTATTTTGCAGAGGGCGTGGTCCTACTGCGTCGCCTTGACCATACGAGACCAGGGATTAGCCCGGAGTTACATCACATGGCCTGGGTGCAAGTCATGGGATCAGTGTTCAACTGTTCAAATTGTTGAAGAATAAGGTATTTTCATATTTATTTTAATCCATAAAAATGACGCAATAAAAATAAGAGTGACGTCATGAATAAAATGACAGAAACAATTCATGACAAGTGTTAACATGATGATAAGGCAAATTATAGAACTGAAACATATGTGAAACATTGTTTTACACAATTTGAAGCATCACGTACATGATCATAAATATAAAAGATGTGTTCTCAAATATCAAGATCATGATGATCACAAAATTAAAAGGAACCGTAAAAACAAAGACTAGCATAATCATCCAAATCAACCAAATGAACATCTTTGAATATGAAAGCGATGTTGCCTAGAAACATCATGATATTGATAATGAAACTCGAGAAGAGGGTGAAGGAGATTATACCTGCGGGCGGAGCCGCCCTTTGAAAAGGCCATGGTGGTGCTTTGTTGCTTTAGTCGTCTCGCTCGACTGAAGGCGAAAAAAAACGTCGTGAAGACGCACGCCCGCTCTGAGTTCACCAGTGAGTAGTCGTGCCACCACCGACACTCCCCAAAAACGTAATCGCCCGTCTTCACCCGAGCAGGTGAAGCCCACGACGGAGACGCGTTCCGGAGGCCTACTCTTCCATCTCTGGTGCTCGCCGGAGGTGGAGCGGGAAAAACTTGCGCCTGCTGGAAAGTGGTGTACTTCGCCAAGAGAACTTAACCGAGAGGGGAGGATTTGTCTTATAGGCGGAGGCCAGAAGAGGAGAAGCCGACGGCACCGAGGGGTCACACCTCCCCCTGCGGCGGGAGAGACGGAGAGCCAGAAGTCACGGGAGTTAACAGAAACTCCTCCAATCAATTCGTCACGGGAGTTAACAGAAACTCCTCCAATCAATTCCATCAAAAGAAACTGAGTGACAAAAATAAAGGCCTCGCCCGCCCGTCCGCTCGCTCGCCGTCGCCGCCTGCCTGCCTGCCACGCCTCTCGAATAGATTGGTCAATGATCAAGTATTTAAGTAGAGTCGCCTCTCGATTAAATTCCCATATGGTATAAAAACCATTAATGCACATGTACGGACCATAGAGTTTAATAGAGATATTAAATAAATGGGCCAAGCCCATAATATCTAACAATCTCCACCAAACTCTAGGGTACGCAGTTTGGAGTTCTCAGAACCACATTCCTTTTATATACCAGTGTTTCGATGGAGACTGTTAAGTTGAACATCCATCTAGAAAGCTAGCTACACTCATCCACAACTGAACAATAGACAGAACCTTGAATTGACAGTTTTGTGCGAGATGAGTTTCACATAACCTCTTAACTGATACTAGGCTACCAAGTGCCTTCCCTCTGTTTTGAAGCATATAAGTCACACTTCAAGGCCTTTCATGAGCATCTAGAGATTACCCACATCTCATAGATTGTGACTAGCAATCGAGCTCATATAGGTGTGTTCCTTATAGGATGTTCTGTAGGACAACATCCCCGCTATACCAAGCCGCTCGGATCACATTAAGAACTTAATCATCCTGCCCAACAGTATTGGAGAGACGGTGCATCTCCAACGAACTGAGCTATAATATAAGGGGTCTCTCCCTCAGTCAATCAACAGCTTGTTTTGCCATCCTAATTCACGGGATCTTCGATCACATAGGACAGGTTACCACTGTTGATGGCTCTATGTGGGTCTCAAACCCAGTTCCCTCGACGCACCTTCTATCACATTGCGTGACAGACCCTTAGTGAATTGATCTGCCAGATTATTTGATGTATGGACATAGTCCAATGCAATTACTCTGGAGTTTCTCAGTTTTCTAACAGTCTTCAAACGTCTCTTCACATGCTTTGTGGACTTCATATTATCTTTAGAACTGTTTACCTTAGTGATCACAGTTTGATTATCACAGTTCATGGAAATTACCGGGATTGGTTTCTCAACAATCGGCAAATCCATTAGGAGATCACGGAGCCACTCTGCCTCAGCACTAGCGGTATCCAATGCAGTCAGTTCTGCTTCCATTGTAGACTTCGTTAAGATAGTCTGCTTGCAAGACTTCCAAGAAATAGCACCACCTCCAAGTAGGAACACGTATCCACTCGTGGCATACAACTGATTCGCATCAGAAATCCAATTAGCATCACAATAACCCTCTAGTACCCTCGGATACCCGGAAAAGTGAATGTCGTAACTCATTGTCCCTTTCAAATAGCGCAGCACTCTCTCAAGAGCATTCCAGTGAGTATCTCCCGAATTTGACACAAACCGGCTCAGTTTGCTTACATCGAACGAGATATCAGGCCTGATTGCACTAGCTAGGTACATGAGAGAACCAATTATCTGTGAATATCTCAATTGGTCTCTTGCAATTCTGTGATTCTTCCTCAAATGAACGCTTGGATCGTACGGAGTAGGAGCAGGCGTACACTCACTGTACCCAAATCGGTTCAAGACCTTTTCCACATAGTGAGACTGCATAAGAGTTACCCCACCATTTTCTTCCTCCCTTGAAAGCTTAATGTTGAGAATAACATCAGCCTCACCCAAGTCTTTCATCTCAAAGTTACTCGACAAAAAATCTTTTACTTCTTTGATCACATTTAGATTGTTGCCAAATATTAATATATCATCCACATATAGGCATAGTATCACACCATCACCACCACCAAACCGATAATATACACATTTATCGACTTCATTCACAACAAAGCTTAAATGATGTTAAAGTTTTATCAAACTTCTCATGTCACTTTGCTTGGGGGCTTGCTTTAGGCCGTCTGAGGATTTCAATAACTTACAAACTTTACCCTCCTAACCATTTGCAATAAACCCATCAGTTTGATCCATGTAGATCTCTTCCTCAAGCTCTCCATTTAGGAAGGTTGTCTTAACATCCATCGATGAATGAAAAGATCATGTGAGGCGACCAGGGGATAGCAACACACGAATGGTCGTCGTCATCAAGCAACAGGTGAGTAAGTATCAAAGTAATCTTCACCTTCCTTCCTGTATAACCCTTAGCAACAAGCTTAGCTTTGTACTTCTCAATTGTACCATCGAGGCCTCGACTTCTTTTTAAACACCCATTTGCATTACAGGTTTGCAACCAAATGAATGGTCAACCACTTCCCACGTCCCATTGGACATAATGGAGTCCATCTCACTTTGCCTTGCCTCCTTCCACATGTCGAAATCGGGAGAAGAGTATGCCTCAGAAACGGTTGTGGGAGTGTCATTCACGAGATATATAATAAAGTCTTCTCCAAAGGAT